AACTGCCTTGCAGCGATGTCCCTGCTGGTTCCAGATGCTGGATGGAGAGCATCCGATGGCGAAGGTCTCTTGCTCCCCAGTGTTCTGGTCTCTGACAGCTCATGCACAACACCCGCTTGGATGTGACGTGCTCACCAGCGTGTGTGCTTGCCCGGGGGCCTACTGTAAATGGACAGCACCCCCTCACCCCTTCCCTCAGGACAAATTCAGCATGTGACAGTCGCTGCCTGGCTCACCTCAGTCTCCACCGACCCAGCTCGGGATCCATTTTCCTGGTTCCTTGTGGTCAGAGGTTGCCCTGCTCTTTGGAAAAGCACAATAAATGCCTTGTGCCACTTTCCCTCCCTCTGGTGTCTGGCTGTTCTGCTGCTCTCAACTGGACTTGTAAATACCCTCCGAAAGTTAATGTATTTAAATGCTGAAGGAGAGAATGTTTGATTTTGTGGCTTTGAGACAAAGCTTTTCTTGGAGATATCTCTGTGCACTTCTACTGACAAACGTCTGTCAGCACTGGAGCAAAGTTTTCTCCACTGCTTTGTCTGCAGGGATAACTCGTAGATGTCTCTGTTGTTGTAACAACAGTTTGTTTTTCCCCACAGCTCAGTTCTAGGCTTCTCTGTGTGATCTTCTGCTAGGCTTGCCTTACACCTTTCTCTCAGTTTCACTTCCCAGACTCTCCTGTTGCGGCACGTAGAAGGGTTATTTGGTGAGCTGTGAGCTCGAGGAAGCCATGAAGCACAACTGCATTGTTCCCAAGGAGCATCAGGTCTCCTGCAAACGGGAATGATTTGTGTGAGGAAGGAGAGGCTGGAGCAGGCACAAGCACAGTTTCTTGCCAGCGGTCACTGAGCAGCTCCTCGCTGCTCTCTCCTCAGTTCCTGCGCCGTGTGAACACCGTACTCTGCCCTTCTGGGAGAAAATTCCTATTTATAAGGGTGCCCTACTTGTTCTTGCCCCCCCTGCTGCTAATTCCCTGCTGATGTCCTGCGTGCCTGGGGCAGGCAGACAGGTCTGACTCCTCTGTCACATCCCTGAGGTGGTGATCGTGCAGGCCAGGAGGGACCAGAGCTAAAACAGGGCAGGATCATGTCCCTACCTCTCTTTACATTGCATATAGCAGCAATTCCAGGCCTATCAGATGTGCCCTGTGGCTTTGAGTGCTGCACGTTGCAAAACTGTTCTCCGAGCAATATAACAGCAACCTAATGCTGGTCTCCCTTCCTCCGAAGCCAGCTCTCTCCCGTGACCCTCTCAGCAGTATTCCCAGGTACTCGGTGTGCCCAGAGTACAGTCAGCATCCCTGTGCCACCTCCTGTTCCTGTCCCGCTGCACAGAGCAGCAGACGAGCTGGCTGGCTGCTGCCGGGCAGAAAGTGGGGGGCAGAGCTTGGCTCTCTCTCCCTCCAGGTGGGCACCACTTTGGGTCTTGCTCCCGCTGACAACCCATTTCCACGAATGGTTATTTACAGGAACTTAGCATCTCTGAAACCTCTCTCTCAAATGAATTTGCTTAAATCAGCCCTAAAAAAGCTGGGTGGAGGAAAGGACTGGCAGATGGGGGGAAATAGCAGGTAGAATGCACAATAGTAAAGCCCATTCCCTTAGGAACTGCAAGAGGGGATTCCCTGATTGGAGGCAGGTCCAGGTAGAGTGGCAGAGCAGCATTGTCCCCTTGTGTGCTGACAGATGGACTTTCTGCTACAGGCAGCAAGGGTAGTTTGTGGCCTCTCCATCTTGCTGAGTGTCTGCCAGGAGCCACAGGCTCTCTGCTGGATTTATGGCTCTGCAGACTGTTCACGTCTGCCCCTATTTTTGCAGAATTATCTCTGCGCTTTCCCAGAACAAAGTGGGTTGGGGATTATTTCTGAATCCACCTCACATCAGCAAAGGGAGGAAGACTTGGTGGCTCTCCTGGAATCGTAGTGACAGGCGTCCAGGTGTCTCTGCTGGGAGCTCAGCCTCTGCCCACGTGGCTGACTTAGGCCGTGGGTGAGCAGCTCCACATCCTCTCTGCTTCTCAGTGCTGCTCCTGGATGTTGGGAATGATCTGCTTTCTGAGTGTATCAGTGAAAGTCCGCTTTTATTAGAGCAATAATCAAGATTTAAAAATAGAGCTAAACATAGGTGATTTGACTTATTTAACATCTTGAGCTTGTCCTTGCATAGCGGGACAGGAGGCACTGCCCAGCGCGGGTGCAGGGAGGATGGAAAGCTGGCAGTGCCCATCTCTTCCCATCCTTCTGCCCTCAGTCCAGCTCCGGCATCCGCCTCCCCTGCGGACACGCGCTGAAGGTCCCTGGCTGGGATCAACATGGGCGTTTCGGCATGGCCCCTCTTCTCTCCGTCCGTGCCCCTCTCCTGTGGCAAAATCCGTTACTACGACAGGGTTCTGTTGCATTTAAATTTGCACAAAACAGGTTTTGTTATGAAATTCCCTCTTGCGGGGAAGAAGTATTTATTTATTTCTCACTATCCTTCCAAGTTTCTTCCAGTCTCTGCCTGATTCCGTGACCAGCTTGTCAGACACTCCGGAGATGGACGTTCCTTCTCGGGGACGGAGAATCCTCTCTGGATGTTCCTGTTTTCCTACAGGTAGTGAGTTCTGGGGGCACCAGCTGAGAGTGCCCTCCCACAGCGACCCTTCCCCTTCTGCGAGACACAAGGGCAGCGAGGGGATGTTGCTGCTTTAGTAGTATTCTCAGAAAGGTGATGTTCTTGAATGGCAGGCATTAAGATTTATGTAGTACTGCGGTCAGGGAAAGAAACTTGCTTCCACCGTGGTCTGGATGAAACGCCGAGAACTGATCAGTATTAAGATAAATGTGCGTTATTGTGTTTGAATGTCTCTCCTGTTGGCACGACTAGGAGTAGCTGGCACCCACGGGATGTAGATGTGAGAGTGTTTGCTTTCATCTGTCTGGTGGCAAATTTAGGTGTATCTGGAAGCTGTTTTTTGTTGTTGTGTTTTGTAGAAATGATGGCTAATTTTTTAAAATGAAAATAGAGGGTTCTTGGATGCTGCTGCCTCGGTGGAATGCCATTTCTTTTTCAGGATGTGCCCCAGTTGCAGGGAGATGCTGCTTTTTTGGTGCCTTTCTTGTCAGGATGATTCTTTTGGTTTCCAGAACACCCAGTGTGTTTGCTCTAATAGTCTTTCTCCCAGTCCTCTGTCCTGGTGCCTCCGCCCTCTCCCAGCCTTGTGACTTGGTGTCTTTCTCTGTGTTATGGTATGGCCTGACCTGCATTTATGCCCTGCCACACCTTGAGTTCTTCTCAGAGCACCTGAGGTACTGTCTTTTGCAAATTTGAATTAATAATTAATATAAAAAGCTTGAAAAAAAAAAAAAAATCTGAATTTTGTTACATAGTGTAATAACTGTTTGTAGATACTGTTCTGAGATGTAGGAATCTATTGGTGATATAAGAGGTTTTGTCTGTAAATAATCAGTTTAGAGTCCAAATGATTTTAATAAAGAGAATTCTTACACAATAATTCAATAAATTTTAATATACAACCTGCGTGTTGTGCTTGTGTTGCACAATGATGCAATTCCCCAGAATGGATTTGCCTCTTTTTTTTCTTTTTTCCCTCCCAAGTGGAGACTGTACTGCTGGGAGCGTGGGGCTTTTCCCTCCCTCCTCCTCCACAGTCCGCGTGATACCGGCTGCGTTTCTTTGAGATGACCTTGTGCCACCTTCCAGTGATGGCTCCTGCATCGCCGCCGCTCTTCTGCGGTTTCCAGAGCTCAGACACCATCCCTGCCGCAGGAGGGGGGAACCTCCCTTCGCAGCACATCTCCTGCAGCAGGAGCTGGGCTGTAGCTCTGGGCTGGGACTCGAGGGGCAAATCTGTTCCAGCTCTGGTTGTGGTTTTCTGTGGTGGGTAAGTGGGGAGGGAGTTGCTTGAGCTGGAGTTTGTTGATGGCTGTTTTCCACCAGTGTTCCTAAATTAGTAAAAACAACTTAATTCTTAAACTAATTGCAGAGTTCTTCCTAGACATAAAGCTGGCTCCTGGCCCATCTATCCTTCCATTCCTTTACTAGTGGAGTTTTGGCTACAGCCTGCCTCTCCCCCCTCTTATCTATGTAATGTCACCGCTTTAGTCCCTCCTTTTCCCTACGTGTGTGTGTGTTCTTGGTGGCCTTTTAGGGGTTACAAACGGCTGGTCCCCTGGGTTGGTGCCCCTGTGCTCGCTCAGCGCCCAGCCTGGTGCAGCCTCTGCCCCCCTCCCTTGTTATTTTTAGTGTGGGGAAGGCAGGTGAGAGGAGAGGGGCACAGGCAAGGGGAGAAGCTCTCCGGGAGGCCCCCGACCTGGGTTTGGCAGCCTGGATCTGCAGCAGAGCTACTGCTAGGCAGCGTTAACCCTTTGCTTCGGGGCTTGGGCTTGGTCTCTGCAGTCTCGGGAAGGAAACCTGAGCTGTACAACACCAGGGCCCCAGCGAGGGGGAGGCCAGGGCTCGCTTGGTGCAAGGCTGCAGCCTGAAAGGGGAAAAAAAAAATAATGTGATTTTTATTGCGTGTGGTTGTTTCCTCCTTGGTGCCGTGTGGGTGGTGGGATGCTCGGGTCCCACCTCAGTGGGGCAGGGATGCCAGGACGGTGCTGCTCTCCTGGTTGCTCTCCACAAAGAGGGAATGGGGAAGCGTAGGGTGGGTTGTCCCCCACACCACGCTGTGTTTGGGCACTGCTGGGGGAGGCTGAGGTGCCTCGGGTCAGCAGTGTGGCACACGGGTGGGCTCGTCCCCTCTGCCAGGCACAGGCTGGGGATGGCTGTGCCAAGCAGGTGATGGTGCCACAGCAGCCAGGCTGGGCCAAAAGTCCTGCCAACACGCTGCTGGGAGCGGTGGGAAGTGTCAGGCAGCCCCATGGCTTCTAGGTCTGGGGACAGGGAAGCAGAGGGGAAGGATTTCTCTGTTTCCATCTCAGTAGAGCCGTGAATTTCCCTCTATAAATAGTTGCTGTGGAGACTGTGGAGCCGCAGCAGGCTGACAGACCTGCTGGCAGGGAAGCCGGGGGGAGGCAGGGAGAGGCCAGCCGTAAAGTGAATCCACCGCAGCTGTCCTAGGTCTCCTGCTATCCCAAAGCCAAGGTTGTTCCCAGAAGCAGTGCTGTGATCCGATACCCTGCCCCGCTCCTCTCCACGTCCATCCAACGATGCAGAAGAGTTTGGTCTGCTCAAGGACACCCCTCCCGGGCAGCAGAGATTAAAAGGAGAGAAGGACCAGCTGGTATCTCACTTTGGGGAGCTCCAGAATGAGCCAGATGACAAACGGAGCGGCGTGCCGGGCCTGCGAGCTGCTGCACGGTGAGTCTGCACAGGGTCCCTGGGGCTTGGAGTCCTGTGCACCAACGGGGCTGCTTTTCTGCTGCATGTGGTGACTTGCAGAGATGCTGTGCTCAGGAAGGGCTGGCCAGGTCTGTGTTCATGCAGAAGAGGAAGGTGTGTATTGTTCTGGTGAGTTCTGTGACCCCAGAGGTATAGGCACTGTAAGGCATAACTGGTGGTGGGCAGCTCTGTACACCATTCCAAGCAGGTTGGAGGAGTTCAGGTGGAGTCGCTCAGGCCAGAAGTGAAGTTCTCTGACCAGGTCCAGGCTTGCAGCAAGCCAGTAGGTTCTGCACAACATAGCTTTGAATAATAGCGGTTTTTAACGTGAAGATGTCAAGGGATGAAGGACTTTAGAGCACTGATTGTCCTTTATCACAGCTTAGAAAAGTATGTTTCGCCCTCCTATACCAAGTTGCATAGCAACGCTCCGCATCCTTTGCCAGTGCATCCATCTACGCTGGATGGAGGTAAAGTCCCACACGCCTAAAGATGGACCTTAGGCGTCCATGTTGCCTCCACAGCAAGGACACCGGGGCCTGTTGAGCTGCCCAAAAGCTCCATCAGCACTAGTGCCAGGATGTTTTACACTCTCATCTGTCTTTGGGTGCTGCTTTCCCACCAAAGTCTCTTGTTGCTATCACAATCCACCTAGGGAAGATGCTGTTGAACTCCCATCTCCACACGCTTTGAGTTTTCCTTTGGCAGGAGAATGGAGAGCAACATAATAAAATCTTTAAGGCTGTTGCCCGGCTCCCGGATCAGCCACTGCTGTCCTAATGATGGGAATGACAAGGGCTTGGGTAGGTTCTGGTGGTGCAGGAGCTTGTGAGGTTACCGATGTGCTCGGTCTGTGCACAAATAAGGAAAATTTTGATTTCTGTTTCATAGCTAAGACGTTAGTAAGTATTTGCTGAAAAAAGTGGCCATAGAGACATGCAGCATCCCAGAGGTTTATGCCTAAAAGAGACTGATTCTGAACAGTGTAAATGCCATGGTTAGAGGTGTAAAAATATGAGGAGGAGGAGGGATTTTAAGCTCCTTTCAGATTGTTGTAGGGGCCTAGATGAACAGGATAAGGTCAGCTCTGGCAAGTTGGATTGTCCCTGACAGAATTGGAGTCTTGAGCCCAGTCTGACCCTTAATTAGAACCATACTGGGAGATTCCTGGGTGCCCAAAGGCAGGCTGCGTCTCTGCCTGCTGCGCTGGGAGAGGAGCATCAGTGTGTTCAAAGAAACTTTACCCTTTTGAGGAAGTGACGCCTCTGCCTCAGCACCTGGAAGATGTTACTGTCCCAGAACAACTCCCCATCACGTAGCTCTTGCTGCCACCAGCACCTCCAGTTCACTATAACTATTTCTGAAAATCTTCTGATGCAGACGAGCTCTCAACTTTAGCAACGTGATTCGAAAGTCAGTATTTCTACCCACACCAATGGTCTACTGGGATTATTATCACCTGTCACAAGCTCTGGCAATGCACGTTAACCTGAAGCTTTGGCCATACAGCAAGGGACATTTCCAAATTATGAAAGGGCTGGGGGTACCCCAGCTACGGCAGCTTATGTCTGTATTTCCATTAGCAACATGGGCTCTGGGCTGCTATTTCAGGTGACCAGTGCTGAAGCCAATTCTACAACGGTGCTGTGGGGCGGGGGGACACCAGTTGCATCAGTCTGTCTGCAGTGTCTCAGTGTTTGTACCCTGGGCTGTCATAGTAACAAACCCTGGGAACAGCCTCCCCCTCCAGCACAGCCTCTTGCTATGGTGTCATGGGACAGTCGGTGATAAACCCGTGCTCCAGCCCAGGGCTGGGCTGCAGACAGATGTGTAGCGCTGCACTTCCCAAAATGCAAGTTCTGCTTTGCACCCTTCTGGAATGTGAAGCTTCTCCTGCCAGCAAAAGCCAGGATTTGTCCCCTCCTCAGCTGGGATGGGGATGGGGAGCGAGTGCTTCCCCCGGCTGCGGCCATGGGAGGGGATCCCGCAGTCCCCGCTAAGCCCCTGAAAATCCACCAGAGGCACAGGGAAACCTGAGACTCCCACCTGGCCCTGGCCCGGCCACACACCGCCGGGATCCCTGCCCAGCCCCAGCCTGCCAGCTTTCCTCCTCTGAACTCTCAAAATAATCCCTGCCTCCGTGAAGTGCCAAAAGCGTTTGTAACGGCCCGGCTCCAGGGGCTGATGAAGCAGGTGGGAAGGAAGAGGGGGTGAGGGGGAGAGAGCAGGGGTAGAAGAGGGAATGGGAGCCCTGCAGCTCAATGTGCGCAGCGTGCAGCAGAGACACAGCTCCCTGCAGCTCTCCATCTCTCTTTAAAGAGTAATAGGCTGAAGATCACACTGCCTGTGGCCCACAATCCGGTTCCCCGCTGCCTGTGTCCCTTCGTGCCAGGATCTGCTGCGCCGCTGGGCCATGGAGGAGCGGGTGCAGGAGGAGATGCCGTCAACCCAGCGCACAGGTCAGTCCTCAGGCGTGTGGCTCCCGAGCTGAGATTGTGCCAGGCTCTGCCCAGGCCAGAAGAGGCCACTGGGATCTGTCCGGCCGTTCCTCTGGGAGGATGGCTGTCCTCAGCTGCTCTTTCAGTCTAAAAGCATTTAGAGATGTCAGTAATGTCTTTTGGCCATGGTCCCCGCAGGAGGCCACCACCCCGTGAGGGAAGGAGAGGTGCTCAACACACGATACCAGGCTCTGCGCAAGCTGGGCTGTGGCGCCTTTGCCACCGTCTGGCTGTGCCAGGACATGAGGTGAGGGGCTGACCAGCTTTCGGGGAGGTGGGAAGGGGTGGCTGATCTCCTGGACAGGACCTGCCCCTCTCACAGAAGCAGCAGAGCGCAGCCACTTGCCCTGAGCACGTTGGCATCCCCTGAGCACAGGACGGCTCTGCATTTGCTCTTCTCCTTTAGACCCTGCAGTGTCCATGCTCTGCCTTTTTCTCTCCAGTCCCTTGCTGTTCCCTGGGGCAGTTGTGCTGCCAGAAGCCAGCAGTGCCACCACGAGTGATGCCCATGGGCCATGCACGCTCCAGACCAAGGGCAAGGCTGCTTGCAGGAGGGCAGCACCCACACACAGAGCCCAGGGCTGGGTGTTGGGGAGAAGGGGAGGTGCTGCTGGTTAGGGCCATTACGGCGTGCGTTGGCTGGCATCTGTGATTTGTTCCCCAGGAGGAAGAAACACGTAGCTGTGAAAGTCCTGAGAAGCAGGGAGAGCTTTGCTGAGGCTGCCCAGGATGAGGTCGCTCTCCTGCGCTGTGTATGTATACTCTGAGGCTCTATGCTTTGCTTCATGAGGATGGCCCCTGAGTTCAGGTCTGGGTATCAGCCTCATTGTTCCTTCTCCCTTCAGGTCTCGGTCTGAGGAGCTAGATGGGCAACAGGAAAACAAACCCAAAAGTTAGCAAATTTGTAGAAATAACCCTGGCTCAGCACTGGCCTCTGAAATAGGCACCTTCTCTTTCCTCCGGTCATACTGGGACACGCTGGCTGTGTCCCGCTTACCCTATCAGCCCATTTATTTCAGCTGAGACCGAAATAGGAGGAATCTGCAGGAAGATAAGGCGAATAATCAAGAGAAAAAGGTGGTAATGTTCTTAAGCAGGAGATGGGAGTGTGTCCACTCTATTTGTGTTTTTGCCAGCCCAGAGGGCATTGCTCTATCGCAGCACTGATACTGAAATAAAAGGAAATATCTGAGGAAAAAAAAATGCAGGATGTAGCAAAAATATAATAAACGTCTGAAGTCAGAAAGCTGCTTCCTGCCTTTGCTAATGGCTGTGGTAATTAGGTGCCTATATCTGGGTCTCGGCTAGTTGACTTTGAAGATGGCTTGACCTGCTAGTTCTAGAAAGCTCATAGTTACAATTCTTTGAGTTTGCCTAAATACAAAGTTACGTCAGCTTTAGATGAGTAAAAGCCATTAAATTTTGCATTTCAAATTACTCTGAAGCCTTTCTCCAACAGTCTTGAGAGAGGTTTATTTCGCATCTGTAAATCTGTAGGTCCTATCCAAAGGGACATGAGCCAGACTCCGTGATGCAAGAGGAAGTACCAAGTGGCACTAATTTAATGTAATCAGAGGGCTGCTTTTCTACACATCAGCATAATCCTGCGTACAGACTGAGCCTTACCCTTGATTTATTACTAATTCTCTCTGAAAGACACGCCTTCCCATTCAGCAGAACACAGCTGGTTCCCAGGGCTGTTCCCACTGGTACAGGGTGGTTGGTGCCTGCAGAGCTGCCAGGAGAGACGATCTGGTCTCCCTGGCTTCCAGGGCTGCTCACCTCTGTCGTGCCAGCACAAACCTCCTGGCGCTGGTACAGGTGGATCCAGCAGCTGCACAACATCCCAAACCAAAATCCTGACAGTTATGGCTGTGAAAAGAAAAATAAAGTATGAATCGCTGTACCAGGATCAGCGCTCTGTGAGAGCAAACTGCCCATAGCAGGTGTACGGTGCTGGTGCAAGAGTGGGGTACCATAGCACCCGTGTTTGGGCAGACTGGGGGTTCACCCTGGACCAGCAGCAGATAGCCAGATGGGTGTACAGACAAGCTAAGCACAGTGTGCTGCTCCCACTGAATGCTCCCCTGGCCTACAGCAGTTTCCAGCTGGAGATTTCTTAGGCCACAGGTGATGTCTGTGTGGGCAGTGATTCTCAGTAGATTTACCTTCAAGACTCCTGCCCTGCTTTCCTGTGAACCCACAGCCCCCTGTGACAAGAACTGCCACCGATTACCCACGTGCTGCGTGAAGAGCCATCTCCTCTGCTTTGTTTTTGAACATCCCAAGTGCTAGGGGTTGATGCCCACTGGTTTTTGTATGAAAGATCTGTGTTCATGCCCTCTGCCACCACTCCATATGTTACAGATTTCTGCAGTACTTGCCCACAGCCCTTTTTCAGTCCAAAGAGACCTACTTTGCTGGGTTACTGTAGACATAGATGCTACAGTCTATCCCAGGAGGACAGGTAGCCTTCAAGTGGCCGAAGACAATCACAAGGTTTCTGCCTCTCTGCAACCCATTGCCAGAAATTGCTGAAGGGAAGGTGTGGGTTTTAAAAGACAATGTCCCAGCCTGCCACTGGGGGACAGGCCCAACCCTCCTCTGAAGACAGAGCAGAAGCTGCAGAAGTGCAAAGGAAATGGACAATCATTGCTTCTGGGAGCAGGGAGCCATGGTCTTGGGGGAATCACCTTCCAGCACAAGCAGGAGTACTTTCTGGGCTTGCATGGCATAGAATAAGCAGCAGGAAGTGTGTTAGATGCCATTAGCAAGATCAGTTTGAGTTATTTGGGCACTGTGAGGGTGATGGTCACACCTGCTCAAGAGCTAGACAACATACAGAAACTCATTCCTTGGTAACAGATTCTGCTTGTGTGTTTGGAACCTGTTTTTCTTGATGCTGTTTTCCTGGGATTCATGAAGTGCTAACTACTGGAAGAGAAAGTCTGTAGAATGGGATAAAGAGGGTGCAAGATGTTCTTGTGTATATATAGGTCTCTAATTGCAGCTTTCTTGGAACCCTCCCCCTCAGGTGAGCAGTATGAAGAAGAAGGACCAGGCAGGAGAAAATATTGTCTGTTTGCTAGACGACTTCAGAATGATTGGAGAGAACGGCTTCCATATCCTTCTGCTGAGAGTGCTGGGGCTCTGGTCAGCAAAGCCTGGGCTTGCCTTGGGGAGTTACAGGATGGTGTAAAACTGACCGCTGTGCTCCCATGAGGATGAGGAGGGCAGTAGTTGGACTGAGGCACGTGGATGTGGCTGGAGGAGAGAGGGTAGACAAGGAGATATCTCGGCTGCTCTGGTGAAGGGCAGAAGGCTGGTGATAGCACCTTCTCTCTGTTATTGAATCCCTGACTCTTTCCCACATGCATGCTTGGTATTTGAGGCGCTGGGTCCTTCCCTGAGATGTCTGATGGGTAACTACACTGCCCAGGGACTGCCTCTGCCTTTTGTGAAGAAGTCTTTGCAGCAGGTGAGAACTTAACTGGAACTCGGTGAGGGCACCAGGGGACTGTTGGCTGGGGGACATGCCATAGTCTTCATCCTGGGGTCATTTGCCATGAACTGCATGGCTGCATCTGCAAAGAAAGGGATAATACAGAGTGAGTGCGCAAGGCGTGCTTTTTTTTAGGGGGAAACAATAATTATTTCTTTTGGGTGTAAGGAGAGAAAATGTTAATTAAAATGCAGAGTGGTAAGTCCTCACATTCCCATTAATACAGGGGCACTGTGTGTTACTGCCCAAGCCTGCAGTCTCATCAGGTTTGGGAAGGGGTCAGGGCCATCACCATGAAGAGTCAGCAGACCTGCACCAGGGATTCAGGGGTGGCACTTGTGTTCCAGTGCCACCATCATCTCAGTAATCATTGCATGCTCTAGCAGTTCTTCTGCTGGCAGGAGCAGCAGGGGGACAAACAGCCTGCTATAGTTATGCTTCTTGTGGGCAAACCATGTGTGTCTCTGCCCTCCCTCTGCCCTAAGAAGTCCCCTCAGGCAGCAATGCCAGACTGTTGGCATTTGCCTCGCCATCCAGCCATGGGTAGCACTGGCAGGGACGGCAGCTTTCTGCACAGTACCACCCAAGGCTGCTCGAGGTCTCCCTCAGCACTGATGTCTTTCCAGGGCTCTCTAAATTGCTGGTTCAGCTGACTGGTCCTCCGCCCATGTTGAGGTTTTCCTGCTCAGAGCCAGCTCTTCCTTCGCCCCCTCCTCTAAGGATGTGGTGTGCCGATCAAACAGATCGTGAAAACTGAGTTTCTTATGTGTTGTCTGGGAATAGCTGAGGAATGGGAAACCTGAGAGAGGCCTCAGAATAGTTAAAATTACATTTTGCCTCTCCTGCTGAGATTTATCAGAAGTCTGCACGCTTGCCAAGATGAAGATTTGCTACCCTGATTCCTGTGCCCTTCTAGGGACACTAAGAAAGAAAACCACTTCCTCCTTCATCCTTTTTCTGGAATAGCCTCTTCTTCCTCTAAAGAAGCTCCACTAACACCTGAATAAGTTACACAAAAATGTAGTGGCATTAATCTCTGTGCCCCATTTCACAACCAAGCCTTTTGCTTGATCCATTCCTGTATCTGCTTTAATTGTAAAATCTCAGAATCTTTTTTCCCCTTCAGATCAGCACTGGGGCAGTATTTACTTCTGATTCATTCCAGTTTAGCTATTTAAATCTTTCCCCGTGTTTCGCAGTTACCATTTAAGGTTGGTATTTCCCCAAGGCTGGTGTTCATCCCAGAATAGAATTTGATAATACAGAGAATATTTGCCAGCCCTTTATGACTGACCAGAGTGTTTAAAAAAATATATAAATCTCCCAGCAGCGTTTTCGCTGTTATTGATTTCTGATAGCGACTGTTTCTCTCTAGTAGGCGTTGTTTATCTCTCCCCTGTGACAGGCCAGACTCTCCCTGCTCCGTCGTAAGCCGTTCTTTCCCTACATGGCTCTCCTGCACTGCTTTTAAGCCCTCTCTACACACGCTCACTCATCATCTCTCCCTCCTCCTGTCGGGGTTCTGCTGCACCTCCTTTCCTCTCCTTGCACGATGGGACACCATCCTGTGCCATGTCACTCTATAACTGGCCCCCAACTTCCATGCAGGAAGGCATGGTGGTCCAAGGACATAATAGCCATATGAGTGTTTTTTTCAGGAGAAAGTTCAACTTTGTGATTGCAACGCCTCCTCGTAGCCCCATCCTCTTTCCATCCCCCCCAGGCTTGCCCATCCATGCTGTGATTTGTGTATTTTCACGCTGCCTTCTGCTGCGTGTCACTGCCACCTCCCCCAAACAGCCCCTTCCCCACTGGGCTCCCCAAATCCCTTGTGCCTGCTGCCACAGGGCCACCCCAACCAACGTCAGCGCTCTGCTGGCTGCACCTCCAGCTTAGTACAGGGCATTCGCTATGCAGAAAGAATTTAATGCAGATAGCTTCCATCAGTGCCCCCTTTCTCCAATACCAGAACGTCCACAGCTTGTGCTGGCGTGCTCTGCTGGGGCAGGGGAGGCGGTGGGGACCCGTGGGTGGCTGAGGTGACTTGCTGCCTGCTGGCCCAGGTGCTGGCAGGGCTGCACTTCCTGCACAAGCGCTGCCGCATCATCCACGCCGACATCAAACCGGAGAACGTCTTGCTGTACGGACGTGACAAAAGCCTCCAAAGGCTTCTGCCCGATGCGTTCGACTGCGGCCAGAGAACAGATTTGAGGCTAAAGGGACCAGGTGAGTGCTCCAGGGTTGGTTTTTTTTAACAAGAAAAGGGACTTTGGTGTTTATTTCCAGGAGGGAAACAGAGAGGCAGCAGGTACAGATAATCTTGGGAAAAGTTCCTAAGATCCTGTAACGGCCGCTGTGAACCAGCACAGCCAGCTTGGGCTGCTGAGAGGCTGCTCCTATCTCTGCTTAACATAAATATCGTGCTACGTTACTCCAGGCACCTGCAGACGTGTGGTCTTGCAGGTAGGTTTGTGTGGAGGAGAACTACACATAATGGGCATCTGTCAACGGCCCCACCACAACCTTGGCTCATAGGTACAGCATAGTCCCCTTGCGTCCGGTGCCTTCAGCCACTGAAAGGTTTACATACAAGATGGTTCGATCAGAAAGGGGTATGACATTTCTGCTCTTTATTTCCTATATTTCTGAGGTTTGTGGGAGACTTGCATGTACAGCTAATCTTCAAGGCCTTTTGAGACATAATTTATTTGCAGAGAATGGCGTGAATATTGAACAATACATAAGACCCTTTATATTTTCCTCACACGATGTTCTCCTGTGATCATTTCTCCCACGACGGCGCTGTGTTGTCTCTCAAACTCTGGGGCAATTGGGGAAGTGCTAAATTAGTGACCGAGTCTCCCTTGGAGCAGAAAGGTGCAATATTAGGCATAGACTGACAGCTCACTGCAAAGCAGTACAGCGAAAATTACCCTTTTCCGAGGTCATATGAAAATGTAACCTTTACGGTGCTTGCCAAGTGGGCTGTGCCCAAGGTCTGTGACAGCCAGGACTGCTGAAGGCTGAGGAGACATCACAGATGTTTTGTGTCTGACTAGTGCTGTTTCCTCAAAAAAGAGGTGGTGAAAAAAAAGCATTTTAGGACCTTTTAGGTTGAAAAACTTTAAAGGCAAGCATACAGGCCTCTGCTGTGTTGAGTGATGAATACCTGTTGGTTTGGAAAGACCTGATTTCCCTCTGTCTTTTCCACCTAGGTGGTGATCTTGGCAATCGATTGGAAGAATGTGATTTAATGAGCATAGAAGTGAAAATTGCAGACCTGGGCAGTGCGTGCTGGACAGTGAGTGTGCTCTGTGTCTCACTCCCGTGTGGACGTGGGATGCTGTGTGCTTCTTTCCATCCTACCATGGACGTCTGTCCTTTTACAGCAGAAGTTATTTCAGTGTGCTGAAGAGATGCTGATTTTGGGGGGTTATACTCAGCATTCCCAGCTCAGAGCTGGGCCCTGCACTCCCAGAGACACTGTCAACTTTGGACGTTTCTTCAGCTTGCAGTTAGTCCCTACAATTAGAAAGTCAAAACCATTTTTGGTGTGAAATGTTGGGAGGTAAATTCACCCTGGTGTCAGTAGGGCTGAGAATCTGCCCTGCACAGAGTTTAACAAACGTGTTTGGTTCTGCCCCTCAAAGTCCTCCTCACTGCACAGGAAGCTTGTGACCACACACACGTGTCGGTACTCGTTTACGGGCACTAACCAAAGGGAGTTTGTTTCTGTTCCAGTACAAGCCTTTTTCCAAGGAGATACAGACCCAGCCATACCGTGCTCTGGAGGTGCTGCTTGGATTAGACTATGGCACTCCTGCAGATATCTGGAGCACCGGCTGCCTGGTAGGACAGGGGACAACGCTGTGCCTGCGTGGGAGGGGACCGACACCAAACGTGTCCCCTCAGCACCCACCCATAGCAGCTGCATGGGGAGCAAGGCTTCCTTGCTGAGGAGAAAGGGGCTGTCTGCACTTTCACTTTCCCTCGAAAGCATGCTGCTGATAAAATTCACTCTTAATTAGTTTAAGCGATAAGGCAATTCACACCCCACCTGTTAACTAACTCACAGGCTTGACTGAATCAGGCACATACTGCTTTTCAAAGGTGCCATGATATGGATCAATGCAGTGTGAATATTTCCGTATTTTAGGATCAGTTCTGTGTGACAGGAAAGGAAATTGGTGCTATCAGAGTTAATAGGGGGAAAAAACCTCCAGGTCAGTTAGTGACTTAACAATGCTCCTCCATTTCTAGGCATTTGAAATGGCAACTGGGGAGTGTCTATTTGATCCTCAACCTGGGAAATATTTCTCCAGAGATGATGGTAGGGCTCCATCAGTTTTTTTAATTTCACTGACCAAAGTGTCACAATCTTTGTGCCTAGATGTGTTTTCCCTCTGTCCAGATCATGTTGCTCGTATTATTGAACTCCTGGGAAGAATTCCTCCTCAAATTGCTCTCTCCTGGAACAAGTCAACAAAATTCTTCAGCAGGCCAGGTAAGAATTGGAGTAAGGAAGTTTATTCTCAAAATCACCGTGGATCTCTGACACATTCCTACTCAGCTCACACTGAAACCCAAGAGTTATGTCAGGTAACACATACTACAAGCAGGGGCAGAACACAAGTGGAGGTTTCATAACACTTCCTGCCCTACCTACCTTTGCAATCCAGGAGTGTTCCAGGGATAAATGCAAAATCCTGAAAAACAGTCACAGCAAACACCCAACAGGGAAAATATTTCCATTCTTTATCCTTTGCATCTGGAGAGAATGGAAATACAGGCAGGAAGTAGCTACACGGCAGGAAGGCTGAAGAGTGTGTAACGGGCAGGATTTCACCCGTTCACTTGCAGAAAACAATGATGATCAGGAATGGGACACTCATATCCTTCCATCCCTCCAATGTGGCTGCTATATATAGTGTTTTAGCCCAACCATAACATCTCTTCTGTTTTATTCTTCCCAGTTCCTTTCCCTTTGACTCATCAGGTTTGAAATCCTTGCCTTTGACTTCAAGGCATCACATGACTCCATCCTTCTGCAATTTAGTCTATCATGCGTTTTCATGCTCACCAGACACTCAGCCTCCCCACAATTCACTCAATGTTGAGTGCTGGCACCATACTGTAGTTCTACAAGCACCTCCCTGCACATTCACATCCTTTGCTCACACTTATTCCTTCTATGGTACTCAAAAAAATGAGTCAAACCCAGTTTTTGTTCTACATTCACTCTGTGTGAACTAAGCCGGCCCGGCCACAGATCCCTAACCTGAATCACTGCATTTACACCATATACTCCTGGGGGCAAGCACAGCTTCTTGGTCAGCAGTGGCACTCTCCTGGGTCCTATGGAACTGAAAGATATAAAACAAACCAAACACTAGTGTCTTGTGAGCTCTGGCACTCAAATGGCCTGGTGCATTGTGGGTTGCATGCAGACAGACACAGGGAACAAGCAGCAATGGCTTTAGCATAACTGTTTTGGGAATGCTTCATTTCCTCTTGGCACGTTCTCGTGTAAGAAATACTCAGCAACAGGGAGACTCCATGCACTAGCTTGGAAAGATGATTTCTGAGAAACACTCGAGCACCAAACCTGCAAGGGGCTGTGGAGGGGAAGCTTACAGAGTTCAAAGGAGAAGGAAGGGATCCTTCAGGACGCTTCGGATGGTTTGTGTAAGGTGAGGAGCGGCAGCCTCTCCGCCTTGCGAGTGCGATTAAGGTACTGTGCTCACACTGTCTTTGCTAGGTGCTCTTCTGCGGATCTCCAGGCTTTCCCCCCGCAGCCTCCACAGCATCCTGGCGGAGAGACACAAGTGGACAAAAGACGAGGTTACTCCCTTCCCCGCCTTCCTGCTGCCCGCGCTGCAGTACTCGCCCCAGCGCCGCGCCACAGCCGCCCAGTGCCTGCAGCACGCCTGGCTCAGCGCCCCGTGACCGGCCCCGCGGGGAGAGGAGGGGGGAGGAGAAACCGACGACCCGGAGCTCCCCCGGGCCCCGCCGCAGCCACCGGGACCGCCCTCCCGGGTGTCGGCGGCCCCGGGCCGGCTGCCATGGCGGCGGCGGCGGCGGGGGGGGCTGCGGGCGCTGCGCACAAGATGGCGGCGGGGCCGGGCCGCCCCTCAGGCGTCGGCGGCTTCTCGGGCCTCCCGAGCGACCCCCGGAGCCGCCTCCAGCCGGATTCCGCGGCTCCTCCCGCGCTCGGGCTCCGTTCGCCTTCCTTAAAAACGTCCCTTTAGTTCGTCTAGTCCGCACGCGGCGTTAATTGGAAGCAGTAATTAACGTCCTACGGTCTCGAAGGCGGCGTAAAGCGGGG